ACATGGTGGCAGGGAATCTGGACTGTCTGGTGTGGTCACATGGTGGCAGGGAATCTGACTGTCCTGGTGTGGTCACATGGTGGCAGGGAATCTTGACTGTCTGGTGCGGTCACATGGTGGCAGGGAATCTTGACTGTCTGGTGTGGTCACATGGTGGCAGGGAATCTTGACTGTCTGGTGTGGTCACATGGTGGCAGGGAATCTTGACTGTCTGGTGTGGTCACATGGTGGCAGGGAATCTTGACTGGCTGGTGTGGTCACATGGTGGCAGGGAATCTTGACTGTCTGGTGTGGTCACATGGGGGCAGGGAATCTTGACTGTCTGGTGTGGTCACATGGTGGCAGGGAATCTTTCACTCCCTGTCTGGTGTGGTCCATGGTGGCACAAAAACTTTTACCGTAAAATACATGTGTCAATGGGTGGCAGGGAATCACAGGGAATCTTGACCGTCTGGTGTGGTCGTGGTGCACTAAATGACCTCTGGTGTGGTCACATGGTGGCAGGGAATCTGACTGTCTGGTGTGGTCACATGGTGGCAGGGAATCTGACTGTCTGGTGTGGCCATGGTGGCAGAGGAATCTGACTGTCTGTGGGTCACAGGGCTGGCAGGGAATCTTGACTGGCTGGTGTGGTCACAAGGGTGGCAGGAATCTTGGACTGTCTGGTGGTCACATGGTGGCAGGGAATCTGGACTGTCTGGTGTGGTCACATGGTGCAGGGATCTGGACTGTCTGGTGTGGTCACATGGTGGCAGGGAATCTGGACTGTCTGGTGTGGTCACATGGTGGCAGGGAATCTGGACTGTCTGGTGTGGTCACAGGGTGGCAGGGAATCTTGACTGTCTGGTGGTCACATGGTGGCAGGGAATCTGGACTGTTCTGAGGGGTCTGGTGTGGTCACATGGTGGCACAAGGGGAATCTTGACTGTCTGGTGTGGTCACATGGTGGCAGGGAATCTTGACCGTCTGGTGTGGTCACATGGTGGCAGGGAATCCTGACCATCTGGTGTGGTCACACATGGTGGCAGGGAATCTTGACTGTCTGGTGTGGTCACATGGTGGCAGGGAATCCTGACTGGTGCGGTCACATGGTGGCAGGGACCTGACAGTCTGGTGTGGTCACATGGTGGCAGGGAATCTTGTGTTAGGGGACTTGGAGTGTGCACAGGGCTCCTTCTATTAACTCCTTCTCTTAAAGCTGAACTCCGGGAACAAAAAACGTTTACTAAAATACATTCCTCAATTGTCACACAGGATATAAATCCACTTCGTGTGCACTAAATGCCTTTGTGAACCCAGTTATTACCTTGTAAACGTAGACGTAACATCATCCCTGTACATAGCCTATGCAGAGAGCAGAGCTGTGGGAGGGACCCATTACAGGCTGCCTATATGAAACTACAGGAGGGGGGCGGAGACAAGACCAGTCCCCCTGCACACTGAGAGAAAGCAGCAGTGAGCGGTCTGTATTACAGGAAGTCTCACTCTGGATTATTGCACAGATCTGGAAGAAATACACAAAGCTCACCGAGAGTGAGAGAATACACATGACTTTTGCATTTAGCCAATAACCGCTTATCCCGGAGTTCAGCTTTAAGGTGGGTTCGCTCATCACTTTAAGGCCAAGGCCACGACACAATATTTTTTGGTTTATCTAAAAATCTAGTGTGCGTGTTTGCAATGGAGCTGATGTTCCTAAGTCATACTGACAGGAACTGCGGGAATGAAATGCTGTCACATGACCCCGCCCGGTCCCCTTTAATACCTACACAGGTCAGTTGCAGGTAATTACACAACAACACTGAGTCATATGTCAGGTCCAACTTTGACCACCTAGAACTACAAAATCCAGCATGTCCAATGCAGAAACACTACAAGAACCAGCATGGTCAATGCAGGGACTTTACAAGAGCAAGCGTGGCTAATGCAGGGAGACTACAACAGCCAGCATTGTCAATGCAGGGACATTATAGGAATCAGCATGATCAATGGGACAATACAAGAGCCAGATGGTCCACTGCAGAGAAGCTACAAGAGCCAGCATGGCCAATGCACAGACACTACAAGAGCCAGCATGGCCAATGCAGAGACACTACGAGAGCGAGCTGGTCCACTGCAGAGACACTACGAGAGCCAGCATGGCCAATGCAGGGACAACTACAAGAGCAAGCTGATCCACTGCAGGAGCTACACAAGAACCAGTGTGGCCACTACTAGAGCCAGCATGGCCAATGCAGGGACACTACAAGAGCAAGCTGGTCCACTGCAGAGAAACTACGAGAGAGCCAGCATGGCCAATGCAGGGACACTACGAGAGCGAGAGCTGGTCCACTGCAGAGACACTACGAGAGCCAGCATGGCCAATGCAGGGATGCTACAAGAGCCAGCTTGCTCACTGTAGGGACATACAAGAACCAGCATACCCAGTGCAGAAACACACTGCAACAGCCAGCATGCTCAATGCAGGGTCACTACAGGAACCAGCATGCCCACTGCAGCAACACTGCAACAGCCAGCATGCTCCATGCTGGGTCACTACAGGAACCAGCATGGTCACTCAAGGGACACTACAAGAACCAGCATGCCCACTACAGGGGGACACTATATGAATCAGCATGTCCACTGCAAAAACACTACAACAGCCAGCATGGTCAGTGCAGGGACACTACAGAAAACAGGCAATTCCACTGCAGGGACTCCACAAGCACATCCCCTCAGCAGGAACCTCTTACACCTTAAAGGGAATCTTTTTTTTAGTCATTTTGTTTTTTTTGAGATACATGTGGATGAATCAGCTTAATAAAAATATTCTTACTGCTTTGTTTTTGTGGTAAAACGTGTTTCTTTCTGCATGGAGTATGGATGTAGACATCCATGGGGGCGGCCATGTCTTCTCATTAGATATGAAGCGTTCCTTTGGGTAGAGTTGGACGTGGAGTGGACATAATCTGCCGTTCCCCTCTCCTAATTCAGGTTAGGTCTGCCTGATGGAAAATAATCAACTCTCTATAAGGCCATCTGAGCTGTCCTTAAAGGGGACCTGTCAGCACAGGAATAGGGGGGCTGCCATGTCTGACTTGTGATGAAGGTGCAAGCTCCTGAGTTGTCACCATTATCCTGGCCTCTTCACTAAATGCGTCTTTGACATGGAACAAGCATGCATCCAGTGAAGCGTCTGGACGGCTGATATACTGACGCGTTTTGCTGGCCAGTGACTCACTAAGTAGTAGATGAAGGGTGGGGATGACAGCTCCAAAGCTTTGAACCTTCTAAAAACAAGTCAGAAGCAGGGGCGGACTGACAACTCATGGGGCCCCCGAGCAATAGGGGATCATGGGGCCCCTGTGTCCTCATCAACACCCAAAAAAGCCTATGAAAAAGCCAATGAAAGGTACCAGGGGCATCTCATGAGGCCCCCTACTGACCCTGGGCCCTCGGGCAGTGCCCAAGTGTTCGAATGGTCAGTCCGCCCCTGGTCAGAAGCACCAGCCTCCCATCTTGATCCATTCCTTGTAACCAAGGAAGCCAATCACATTCCCTGAAATATAAAATGCCCCATCCAAAGGGAGCATGTACACACCTGGTTTGAAATACAACAATTAAAATATGAAACAGCAAAAAAAAAAAAAGTGAAAGTCACATCAAACCTTACAGTGATAACTCAGAACGTGACTCACTGAAATACATTAGAGTTTCCCTTTAAGTCGCCAATGGTAAGGCATGCAGGGGCATGTAGTTCATCAGCCGCTGTAGAGCAATCTACATTTCTGTGTAATCAATGGAAATCTATCCCTGTTTCTCCCATCATTGATCTCTGCCTTTCCAGAAGTACGGCATTACGACATTGGCCATACCTGTGGTGGAACTCTAACCACACAAATGCACGCCTCCATTTTGCTGACTCCCGCGGCCTGCAGTGTATGGTGACTCTGCATTTTGTTGCAGCCCCTTTGGAGAGTGAAAGGGTTAAGGCAGCAGAGAGATATTTGGTAGTGACGGTAAGTCCACGCACTGCAGCCTGGGGAGGAGGGGAAACACATGACACCCAGGTCATGGAGTGGCTGGCGTCGCATGTTACATAACTGAGGGGGAAATGGGTGACATGCAATAAGAAGCTCATTAACAATGTTGTAAGAGGTGAGATAATTCTTCGTAATCTGTGTATGTACAACCTGAACATTCTCATGCTGAATATACCGTGAGTGGATGAGGGAATAATTACTACATGTGAAAAGAAGAGAGACAGAAAGGTAAGCAGTGTTCCGTTAATCCCACCAACTTTCATCCCGCTTATTGGCCTCCAGTGGCCGGTGACGCCTCCATTAACCTCCGGTAATGGAGATATTGCACATTCGTCAATGGGAAATGTTGAGTTTAGTGTCTCTTCTTCTCGGAATCCAGTTTCTGGCCCACAATTCCCTGCATTTTCCCATGTACATCTCACTGGTTGACCATTGAGGGCAGACCCATCCTGAGAACATGACTAAACACCTTGAATGATGATCCATGGATGGACAGGAAATGCTAACTAATGGATGAACTATTGCCTAATTTTTCTGCTACTGAATATCAAATATTCAGTCCTGTAATGTCCACCTGGTGCCACATTCAACCCTCGTCCATAGTAGACAAGAGCCAGTGGAAGAACTTTCCTTGGTCACCTTTGTCCTCCAATGGTCCGTGGTTTGGTTCTTGGCTTTGTACATCACTGTGGACATTGTACAGGACCGTTATGGCTCAATCCATCAAAGTCTTAGTGTATAACTGTCCTCATGTGTCTCATCCACATTCCACCCTTGGCTGCCAGTTTGGCAACTTCTTTCCTTTTAGCACCTGTACTTCATTGATGCCACGATCCGTTGGCATTTGCCGTGTGCCATTGGTATTTTTGCATGTTACTGGGCTCCTCATGACCATAACAATGAAGTCATCTCCTTTGTGTTTTGTGATGATAACACATTTTATTTTCAACTTTTTTTTTGTTTTTGTTTTTTACTGTATCACAGTGAGGTTTCTACACAAGAACCGTTGCGGTGGAGGCGTCGGTGGTCGTGGTTTGTGCAGCCCTCATTGCGGTGGACAATGAGGATAGGGAAATAGAGGGCATCCTGGTATGGAGGTGGTTCCTCTTCTTCCACCGTTACCTGGCTAGACAGCCTGGTCTGCTCGGTAGGACAGCCCTGCTCGTTGAGGCTTTCGCTTCGGCTCTGCCACAGGCAGCTGCGGCGGGATCCATACAGGCGCCCCAGGGAGAAGCGACTGCTGCTGAACGGAATCCTGGGGCTGCCGTTACATATGCTGAGAGCGCTACGGGAGAAAATGGAGGAGCTGCTTATTGTACGATGGCACCTATCACAGTTCTGGCGATAGCCCTGGGTATATCGGCAGGCAGAGTAATTAGAAGACATTCCCACCAGATCCATGAGAACAGCTTCAGAGTAGCTGGGCACCAGCTGCTGGTTGGACCGTATGTGCCACTCCAGCTCGGTGCTATCGATGGTGTTGACTCGAGGCATTCTCCGACACACGGTCCGGTCATCAGCTGGTGTGACCGGTGTAAAGTCAAAGCCAAACAGCTTTTCCACGTGATAATGGACACATGATGTTCGGTACTCGTTCAAGACTCTTAGTGGCCAGGAGAGCGTTAGAAGAGCCGCCACCCAAAATACATAGTGGGAGACGTACCATGGAAGGTTGTCTGGGTCAGAAAATGCCACCATATATTCCTTGAAGTCCACATTTTTTAAGTGCATTCCCTCCCTAGCTTCCATGTAATCATCCAGACCCTCGTTCTCCGTAAAGAATCTTGCCCTCTGAGTCAGATAAGAGTTCTCAGATTCCACGTTTGCAAAGCTAAAGCACTTTGTAAAACGCAGCCGTGTGACCGGATAACTGTCGAGGCCTGACAACTCTTTGGAGACATCCTTTACTCCACAATTGTTGTAGTCAAATTCTGATTCCGCCACGTGGGTGTTGACCCGCTCGTGGTAGACCTGGGTGGTAGTGTAGGCATCTCCATTTCTGTAACGGGTCACCTGCCGAGTCCGACGTACGTAGTGGTAGCTGATGGCCTTCCACCAAATACATGGTGTGGCTTGCTGCATCCTCTGCACGCGCTCCTGCACGCTCTCTAGGTCTACCTTATACTGCATTTCATTTCGTGTGTAGCAGTGCCAACATTCCACCAGGTAGACCACATACAGCATAACCAGGAAGGCCAGGGGGATGTAGACGTAGCCATTGGAGCAGGGACTGTCATGATACATCATGGAGTTGCCTTTGTAGGCGCTGTCGAAGGTCAAGCGGGTGACTTTGGTAACGTGACACACAGGTCATGGCACCCATGCAGCTGTAGATGAGGAGCGACAGAAGTAGGCATTTCCAGTGGGACTCCCGGCACAGAGACTTGCTGAATGACTGCTTCACCGGCCTTTGCTGCAGAGACAAGAAACAAAAGAAGACTTTAAAAATCTCATCATTTAGAATGATTGCTTTACTAGACATGTGTGGTTCGTGTATGTCGGCTATAGATGGGTCGAAAATCGGCCTACTTTTCGGCCGAAAAAAAATCGGCTGATTTTCGCACCGTTAGGGGGTTAATTGGTCAGCCGTTTTTTGGGGTTTTGGCACATTTTTTTTGTTGTGTTTGTCATGTTGGAAATTTGCAGCCGATTTTGACGATTGGCTGATTTCCCCGGCAATGAGGAGCAAATCAGCCAATCGTTTTACCGATACAAAATCTGCGCATGAGCCATGACCTGCAAGGTTGCCATATTGTATAATGTTTCTGAAAGGAAGAAGAAGGAGAAGAAGAAAGAGAAGAAGAAGGAGAAGAAAGAAGAGGAAGAAGAAGGAGAAGAAGAAGGAGAGGAAGAAAGAGAAGAAGAAAGAGAAGAGGTAGGAGAAGAAGAAGGCGAAGAAGAAGGAGAAGAAAGAAGAAGGAGAAGGAGAAGAAGAAAGAGAAGAAGAAAGAGAAGCAGAAGGAGAAGAAGAAGGAGAAGAAGAAGGAGAAGAAAAGTAGAAAAAGAAGAAAAAAAGAAGAAAAAAAGAAGAGGAAAAAGAAGAAGCCGTGATCTGCAAGGTTGCCATATTGTATATTGTTTCTGAAAGGAAGAAGAAGAAGGAGAAGCAGAAAGAGAAGAAGAAGGAGAAGAAAGAAGAAGAAGAAAGAGAAGAAGAAGGAGAAGAAAAAGAAGGAGAAGAAAAAGAAGAAGGAAATGAAGAGGAAGAAAAAAGAAGAAGAAAAAGAAGAAGTAGAAAAAAGAGAAGCAGAAGAAGAAGGAGAAGATAAAGAAGAAGGAGAAAAAGAAGAAGGAGAAGAGGAAAGAGAAGAGGAAGGAGAGGAAAAAGAAGAAGAAGAATAAGAAGCAGAAGAAGAAAAAAAGAAAAAGAAAAAAGAAGAGAAGAAGTAAGGAGAAGAAGAAGAAAAAGAGAAGAAGAAGAAAAAGAAGGAGAAGAAGAAATAGAAGAAGGAGAAAAAAAGAAGAAGAGGAAGAAGAAGAAAGAGAAGAAGAGAAAAAAGAAGAAGAAAAAGGAGAAGAAGAAAGAGAAGAAGAAGAAAAAAAAGAAGAAAAAATCAATCTGAAACAAAACAAATTTTTTCGTTCTGCACATGTCTAGTCTTTCCTGCTACTCTCTAGTCTGCCGTTTTTCCGATCTTAAGTGATAGGATGTAGTAGGAGCACAGTGGGGGAAGGGGGCAGGTCCAGCTCATTGCCGGGAGCCAGTGACAAAAAGAACATAATACATAACCAAATTTTTTGGTAAAATATAAAAGATGATGTTACGCCGAGTATATAGATACCAAACATGTCACTCTTTAAAATTCAAGTCTTTACAGATTACCACTTTAGATTTACAGAGGAGGTCCGGTGCTGGAATGATTGCCCATGATCTGACATTCGCGACGATAGCTGTGGGCCGATCGCTGTTTGCGCGTGGGACCGATATGTACATTCGACTTTGCACGCAAGCACGGCGAGATGGGGACACTTTAATTTTTTTTTTTTTTAATTATTCTTTTTTTTAATCACATTTATTGCTGTCAGAAGGAATGTAAACATCCCCTGTGACAGCAATAGACACGTGGCAGGTACTCTTTATGGAGAGATCTGGGGGTCTATAAGACCCCAAATCCCTCCTCTGCACCTGAACGCACCTGAAGTCACACCAAGATCAGTGTTTTTGAATGCTTTCAGATTTTTAAAAATTGCGCCGATAGTTTCCGAGTAAACTGGAAGTATTGTCAGGTCATCGGTATACTATAAGGGAGAGCCAATAAAAGGCGATTTGGCCAGTGGGATCCCAAGAGAGCTGCGGAAGGTGGGGGAGGGGCATCCCCTCCCGCTGCTTATACAAGCGATCAAGTGGCTAGTTATAGGCATCCTTGTCTAATAGAGGCTGCCTTCCGCCATTGCTATTGGAGGGTGATGGAAGGCATCCTTGTCTAATAGAGGCTGCCTTCCGCCATTGCTATTGGAGGGTGATGGAAGGCATCCTTGTCTAATAGAGGCTGCCTTCCGCCATTGCTATTGGAGGGTGATGGAAGGCAGTCTTGTCTAATAGAGGCTGCCTTCCGCCATTGCTATTGGAGGGTGATGGAAGGCATCTTTGTCTAATGGAAGCTGCCTTTCGCCATTGCTATTGGAGGGTGATGGAAGGCATCCTTATCTAATGGAGGCTGCCTTCTGCCATTGCTATTGGAGGGTGATGGAAGGCATCTTTGTCTAATGGAGACTGCCTTTCGCCATTGCTATTGGAGGGCAATGGAAGGCATCCTTATCTAATGGAGGCTGCCTTCCGCCATTGCTATTGGAGGGTGATGGAAGGTGGCATTATCTAATGGAGGCTGCCTTCTGCCATTGCTATTGGAGGGTGATGGAAGGCATCTTTGTCTAATGGTGGCTGCCTTCCGCCATTGCTATTGGAGGGTGATGGAAGGCATCTTTGTCTAATGGTGGCTGCCTTCCGCCATTGCTATTGGAGGGTGATGGAAGGCGGCATTATCTAATGGTGGGTGCCTTCTGCCATTGCTATTAGAGGGTGATGGAAGGCATCTTTGTCTAATGGAGGTTGCCTTCTGCCATTGCTATTGGAGGGTGATGGAAGGCATCTTTGTCTAATGGAGGCTGCCTTTCACCATTGCTATTGGAGGGTGATGGAAGGCATCTTTGTCTAATGGTGGCTGCCTTCCGCCATTGCTATTGGAGGGTGATGGAAAGCATCTTTGTCTAATTGAGGCTGCCTTCCACCACTTTTATTGGAGGGTGATGGAAGGCAGTCTTGTCTAATGAAGGCTTCCTTCCGCCATTGCTATTGGAGGGTGATGAAAGGCTTCCTTATCTAATGTAGACTGCCTTATACCATTGCTATATAAGAGTGATGGAAGGCATCCTTATCTAATGAGGCTGCCTTCCGCCATTGCTATTGGAGGGTTATGGAAGGCAGGTATATCTAATCGAGGTTGCCTGTTGTCACTGCTATTGGAGGGTGATGGAAAGCGGCATTATCTATTGGAGGCTGCCTTCGGCCAATGTTATTGGAGGGTGATTGAATGCAGCCTTATCTAAAGAAGGCTGCCTTCCACCATTGCTATTGGAGGGCCATGGAAGGCAACCTTATCTAATGGAGGCCCTGGGTCACATTGTGAAGATCGAGATGAGGTTTCAGTAAAGCTGGGAATTTCCCAGGGATCTTTGCTTTCACTTCCACTAATGATCAGTAGCCAGCAGGACTGACTCCCAATCCTGGGACCAGTGTGACAGCCGATCACAAGATCATCCTTCCTGCCCCCCGGGGGTTCAGAACTTTTTTTTAGGGAACAGTGGGAAGGGTGGGTCGGAAAAGATGAAACTGTCACTTTTTATGGGTTGTTAGGCAGGTGAATTTATATGAAGTTACTGCTTGAACTGCACAACCAGGAACCTTTGGCTCTCGTTATCCGCAGCCTGCCTGGCCTGAGCTGCCTGCCCACCAGCATGCAGGAAAACCACAAATCCTTATCTGTCAGTTGTGAAGAGGTTCAATGTAGGCTGGAAACATATACAGGAGAGCTAAGACTTTGCCCAGTGCACATATAATACTCTGGATTCATCTCCACATACAACCACCCGGATCCTGATATGATACCACTGAAAATATGAAGGGCGCAGGGAGAATCATTCTGCGTTCAATTCCTTAATTACTCTGCTTAGTCCCGGCCTGTAATCCAGCCTGTAATCCATTAAAATGGTTTAGGATTAACGAGAGGATTGAGTGGATGTGTAAAACAGGCAGATGTGAGGCCAATCGCTCACACATATCAGGACATGCGGTGTATGAATCCAGCAGGTGACCAGATAGGAGAAGACCACATCGGATTGGATATAGCAATGCCAGCAGGTGACCAGATAGGAGAAAACCACATCTGATTGGATATAGCAACGCCAGCAGGTGACCAGATAGGAGAAGACCACATCGGATTGGATGTAGCAATGCCAGCTGGTGACCGGATAGGAGAAGACCACTTCTGATTGGATATAGCAATGCCAGCAGGTGACCAGATAGGAGAAGACCACATCTGATTGGATGTAGCAACACCAGCTGGTGACCAGATAGGAGAAGACCACATCGCATTGGATATAGCAACCAGATGCTGGAGATAGAAGACCACTTCTGATTGGATATAGCAATGCCAGCAGGTGACCAGATAGGAGAAGACCACATCTGATTGGATATAGCAACGCCAGCTGGTGACCAGATAGGAGAAGACCACTTCTGATTGGATATAGCAACGCCAGCTGGTGACCAGATAGGAGAAGACCACATCTGATTGGATATAGCAATGCCAGCAGGTGACCAGATAGGAGAAGACCACATCTGATTGGATATAGCAACGCCAGCTGGTGACCAGATAGGAGAAGACCACTTCTGATTGGATATAGCAACACCAGCTGGTGACCAGATAGGAGATAGCCACATCTGATTGGATATAGCAACGCCAGCTGGTGACCAGATAGGAGAAGACCACTTCTGATTGGATATAGCAATCCAGCTGGTGACCAGATAGGAGAAGACCACTTCTGATTGGATATAGCAACACCAGCTGGTGACCAGATAGGAGATAGCCACATCTGATTGGATATAGCAATGCCAGCGGGTGACTAGATAGGAGAAGATCACATCTGATTGGATATAACAATGTCAGCAGGTGACCAGATAGGAGATGGCCGCATCTGATTGGATATTGCAATGCCAGCAGGTGACCAGATAGGAGATGGCCGCATCTGATTGGATATTGCAATGCCAGCAGGTGACCGGATAGGAGATGGCCGCATCTGATTGAATATAGCAACACCAGCAGGTGATAGAGGGGAAACGGATTGAATATATGAACGTCTGCATCTCATTGGATACATGAATGCCAGCAGGTGCTCTGAAGAGGAGGCGGCCACTTCTGA